CAAGGATCAGGGAAAATCATGCCGGTGCAGATTAGAATCACCCAGAAATCACCCAGAATCACGAGAATGGTACGGTGGGACAAGGGAACGCCAACGACGCGCTCACCCACCAACCTCGAGCTAGAATGAGCTTGTTCTTGGCAGCAATCGGGCAAAGGGTTTTTCGGCATTGAAATGCCAAACTGCCAAGAAACGTTGAATGATGCCGAACCTGATTGGTACGCGCGCCGTGGCGTGGCTTGAACTGGGGCTTTTGGGTCGAATGATTTGGATTCATGACTCTTTGCGCGAGCCGGTGTGCCCACCAACACACGTCGCGTCGGGCACCCTGGTCCCGCGTCGTGCTCGGTCGGTGCCGGCGCTTGGAGATGGACAGACCGGAGCCCCATGGTCGTCATGGTGGTGGAGCTCGTCTCGCGGCGCCAACACCGCTCGTCGTGGAAGACGCCGATGAAGTCCCAGAATGATGGCGTGCGTTGCCGATCGTAAATCGTAATCCTCTGCGTGGAAGCGTCGCGCGCGTCGAGTGGTGCCTCTGCTGCGCCCGATTTGTCGCTGACACGCAAATTGACACTTCGGCCCAGAACGATCACCATTTCACCACCAAACGCTTGCCTCAATAATACGCAAGAGGGTCACACCACGCTGCGCCATTGGAGCGGCGGCCTTGGCACCTTGACCGCACGCACACAGTTTAGTGGTGAGGAGCCGGCGCCGGCAGGATTGGACCACTCGTCGCCGCGCGCGTCTCGGCCCCACAAGCAGAGTCGGCGGGCCGTAAAATGGCCGATGGGCCGCTGCGACTCAATCAATCCACCATCACCGCGTCCTCAACTTCGACCCGCGGCCTCACCACGCACGATGCGGTCCGAGACCCCGTTTTCCAACTCGACGGCTATGGCTGCGCACGTCCAGGACCGGCGCACGGCACCGCAGCAAGCTTGGGCCGAAGCTTCTTCGCCAATGAACTCGCCAACGACTTCCTCCGACGACGGCAGCGACTACCGCGTCGACTATGCCGCCGATGGCAACCGCGAGGACGACCGACTATTTCTGCACGACAAGGCGCCCGCAGGCTGGCCACGGGCAGGAACGCCAGTCGACAAGGGCTCGTCATGGCGCGCGTGGTCGTTTGGCTGGCGGTCAAGCAGCGCACGCCGTGTACCCGTCCTCCCGTGTCACTTGGATTCGACAGTCGTCGGTGGACCAGCTCGACGGCGGTCGCGATGCGCTCGCCTGTGCATGACCTTTATTCTCGCCATTTTGCTCGTCGCGGTCCCGGCCTCGCTCTACCTGCGCTCCGTGCCCGATGAACCGGTTGTGCCGGTCGAAACGCTCGAAAAGGAATGGCCTCACGACGCGCCGCAAGAATGGACACCCGGCCACCGCCCGCTTTTCATGGACGCGGCCAAGGCTCCACCTATCGAGCTCGATGACGAACCGCCAGCTCCATCCTCTTTCTCTGCCGCTCGCGACGACCCGTTATCTGTTGCCGGTGCGGCCGCGCTGCGTTCATTCCCGGGCGCCTACACGCGCGCGACCTGCGGCGCCTTCCCCTCTCTCCTCTACGACGCGAGCCGTAAGGCCGCCGCGCATTGGCAAGGACGGCTCTCCGAGGGGCTCGTGAACCGCACGCTCGACGACTGCCGGGTCCGCAACTATGAGTGTTTTGGGGTGCAGTGGATCGACGGCGAGTTGTACGTGCAGACGGCGTTACCGGCCGGGTTCCAGTCGCGCACCATGTCCTATTTCTTGCAGCTCTGGCACACGCTCAAGTCGGGCCACGAGCCGCTCGAAAACTTTGAGTTTGTGCATTACACGGGTGATTCGACTTACGGCACCGATTTGCCGTACTGGAGCGGCTCGCAACCAATCGGGCAGCACTCGGCGTTTGTGGTGCCTGAGTGGTCGTTTTTCGGTACGGTGATGCTTTCCCTGCGCTCGCTCCTCTCATACCGTTGCAAATTGCAGGCTAACACTTTTTTTGGCCGCGATAGCATTCCCCGAAGCGGGCATGCCCTCGTACGAGTTTGGCGCACGCAGATCCCGCGTCGCCGGCGCCGCGACCCCCTGGCACAAGAAGCGCCCCGAGGTTCTCTTCCGCGGCGCGATTCTCGGCAGCGCACGCAACGACCTCGAGCGGCACATGGCCGGTTTTGCCGACGACCCGCTTCTCAATATCCAACGCGCGCGGCACGACAACTTCATCCCCGGCCACGACCAGTGCCACTGGCAGCACCTGCTCTATGTCGACGGGTGGGCGCAATCCGGCCGACTCAAGTACCAGCTGCAGTGCCGGTCCGTGATCATTGCGCACCCGACGGGGTTCCATGAGTATTTTACCCCATTCTTGCGCAACGGCACGCACTGGTTTGTGCTGCCGCCGCCGTCGGTGAACGAGACGCAGTGGTCGGTCTTGCCGTCGTTTGTGCGCCGCGTGCGCGCCGAGTACTCGTCCGATCGATTGGTCAAAATGGCCGACCACGCCGCGTTGCTGGCGCAGTGGATCTTTGACCCGGTCGTGCGCACGTGCGTCACGCTCGATACGGCGTGGACGTATGCGCGCGCCATGACCTACCGGCCAACGCGCGTGCGCGAAGGCTACCGCCCGCTCGAGGAGTTGCTCACGCGGCACGTTTGGGACGCGCTGGTGGAGGGACAGGACAAGATCGAGGCGCTGGAAAGGACGATTGAGGAGGTGCAGCGCGAACGCGATGCGTTGCGCGCGGCCATGGCCGAGTACGATGGGTTCACGGAGGGGATGCCGGCGCTGGACGTTGTGGCGTGATTCTAGTTTGTGTTTTTCTTATTGCGGTAATCGTTTTGATCTTGGTGTTGTTTGTACAGCTTTTGATTCCAGGTTGTGTGTGTGCGGTCGCGGCGGAGTGTGTACCAAGCTCGTCTTCACGTGATGAAAACTAGCAATCTCCTATAATTTAGCCGACCGGCCTCGAATTAATTGTCGCAGGCTGTGCGAGTCTGGCTCAGCCGGGCTCGGTTGCTGGGGGAGTAGGTTGTTGGCGCGAGACGTGTTTGCCACAGTGGGAGACGGCGGCACGGAAAGCAGGTGATCGCGCGTCCCACCTTGCGCTGTTGCACGGACCGTGCCCGTCGCGCTTCACCCTGATCAGACCGCAAAATGAACTTCGAAAGTCCCCCACATGCACGGGCTCACCTTCCAGCCTTCATCGTGCCCTAGAAAGCAGCACCGCCCCGTTCCGTGCCGCCCCCCGTTGTTCCACTCCCCGACCCGACCGCCCCCTGCCCCGTCGCCTGCTACTGCCTCGAAGTAGTCGCGACCCGACACGCTCGTCTGTACCTGATCCGCCTCGGAGCTCACGCACGATCTATTGTACCGGCACGCACCGCTCGATTTAAACCGACGCGACCCTGCTGAACCGCAACCCAGCCCGCTTCGACCCGCCCGACTTGCGTCTTTCTCCCCGCACTTCGACGCTCGCGCGCAATCCTCCTCGTTGGACCGTCCTTGTCGCCGTGATCCGCCCCTCACCACCACAACCAACTGCCAACATGCCCGGCGTCGGTGTTGCTGCTGTACGTTGCCGCCGCCGCCGCCGCGTGCCCGATGTGACGTCGACACGTGGTGGGCGCTGCAAGCTCGCGCGAGGCGTGGAAATGCCGCGATCCGGCGTCGTCGCCGCGCCTCGCGATCCATCGGACGTGATCCGCTCACCAACGCGCTCTCCGTGTCGCGTATCGCTCGCACCGCCGTGACCCGCCGCATTTGATCTCGCTTGACGACGCTGCTCGTCGCAATCCACGCTTCTAGGCCCCCGAAATCTCGACCACGTACGAGGGTACGTTGAGTGCGTCCGATGGTGTGTTGTCGAGTGCACCGATTTATTTTGCGGTTTGCGGTTTCGGGATCGTAGAGGTCCGCAATGACAAGCTCGACACGAACTGGCTGTACGTGGATCGCACCTCAGCGACAAATCTGTCGAGAATGGCGCAACTGACGCGTCCACCTTCTCTAGCTACTTGTCGTACGAGGACGGCACCGACAAGCTTCAAGTCGCCGGCAAGGGTACCTCGTCGCTCTTCTCGTTCTCGTCGTGTAGGTCGCGAGAGCGCACCTCGCGTCCGCGAATTGTCGCATTGTCGAGGGACCCGCCGCGCTCACTTTCACTTGATTTAGGCAAGGGCGGGCTCACCGAGTTTGTGACCAAACTCAAGGACGACCAGGCCGGGTTCGGGTACGTGCGCGTGACGGTCGGCAACGACCAGCTCTCGCAGCGCGCCAAGTTTGTGCTCGTCTCGTGGTGCGGGCCCAACGTCAAGGTCATGCGCAAGGCCAAGCTCTCGGTACGCACGATCGCGCGCGGTTCGTTCGTCGGGCAATTCGGGGATCTCACCTCGCGGTTTGCGGACGTAGGTGCACATTGCCGAGGTCAAGCAGACGCTGCCCGTCTTTGCCGTCGAGATCCAAACGTCGACGCTGGCCGACTTGAAGGAGGACGCGGTCATTACCAAGCTCAAGAAGGCCATGGGCGCCAACTACGACCGGTACGCGTGTTCAACCGTGGCGCGATTCGTCCGACATGCATGGAGAACGCGACTGACCCCATCTGTCGGCTAGGCAAAACTCGGAGTACTGAGAGGAGCAGGCTCCCCGCGTCCAGCTCTCGCAGCAACGTCATTCAAAGGCCGTTGCTGTGGTCCATGATGTTCACCGTTTTCGTATCGGTCTCGTCCGGTTTCTTTGGAATATATATCCCCCGTTGAGTTGACTCGTCAAGATGGAGTTGATCTTCAAGACGGACACGAGAAATGAATGCAGCTGATTCAAACCAAACATACGTCCAGACGTGCCAGCCGACGTCATGATCGACAATTATTTGGAGGTAAGATGGACATGGATGGCGGGATTTAAATTGAAATCGCTCCTCGCCTGGCGACCTGTCCGCTATTCCTCTTTCATGGTTGGAAGTCACGGTTGGAGGTCGTCAGACAGAAAAGCAACCTTTACGAAGTCAACGTGATGTAAAGGACGGGGTTCGAACCCGCGCCTCCGAAGAGACTGGTGCCTAAAACCAGCGCCTTGGACCACTCGGCCACCTTTACTGTGAGTGGATCGCTCTGTTCTACAATCCCGTAAAGAATATATACCGTTGCACTGCTCTGATTTAAGAGCGTTATGTTGCTCGAACCACATGTTACAGGTCACCAGCCGGCATCAGCAACGCATCATCGAGGCGCATTGTTCGGCCCACACTTGGTGCATCTTGTTGCCAGCACGGCCGCTGCCAAGTCGATCGCATCAACAACCGGGCCTGTTGCCGCAACTGAGTCCTGTTCGTGAAAGGCGCCATCGACACTCGATTGACCAGCAACCCATCCCCGGCCGCTGTCGAAACCAACTCGAGGACCCGGCCGTACTCAATTGTGCCAAATAGGAACCCAGCGCATATCGAACTCTCTTCTCCACCAAGAATATCGAGCGCTCGTGTCGCTGTCGCGAGGGATCAGCAGCAGCGCGTCCCTGGAACGCCCACCAACCAACCCACCAACTGCAAATTTGGGCCTGTGCCCGCGCAACGACTTGATTCGACTCGCCCCGCAACTATGGACCTGCAAAATGTGCTCTTTGTCGTCGTCGTCGTGTTCCTGATCACGTTCATCCCGATCTCGGCGCACATTTACGTGTTCCCGGACTTCATCGTGTGGGGTAGCTCCAAGTCGGCGACGGCATTCTACGTCGTGTTTGATCTGGCCGTGCTGAACCTCTGGTTCAACTACGTGATGGCGATTGTCACGGACCCAGGACGCGTGCCACCGAAATGGGTGCGTTCGCTCAATGCGAGTGGTGAAATGACCCGCGCCGTGATTCGTGCTGATGCGTCGCTGCGTGCAAATAGGAACCGGCACCGACGAGAGGCGTCATGGAGGTCAAGAACTCGACGTCGGCGCCGCGGTACTGCAGAACTTGCCAGCAGTTCAAGCCGCCGCGCACGCACCATTGCAGTCAATGCGACCGGTACGAATGGAGCCGTCTCAATTCTCACTGAGATTGCATGCGTTTCTGATGATATGGCTCGGCATTAGTTGTGTACTCAAAATGGACCACCATTGCCCCTGGGTCAACAACTGCATCGGGTTCAACAACCAAGCCTTTTTTGTGCGGTTCCTGTTCTGGGTCGACGTCGCGACGGGCATGTGCGTCACGGTGCTCGCTTGGCGGCTCTACGACTGGTTCACGCAGACGTATCCGGCGTGGGTACGGTGTTGCCTTCGTCCCTTTTCGCGATTCGCATTGCTCGCGTCGCTCACTGGGCATTTCATCTCGATAGTACTACTCGGACGTTGTGCTCTACCAGCTTGTCGTCACGATCATCGACATGTGCATGGCCGTGCCCGTCTTCCTCACGGTCGGCACGCTCTCGATCTACCACTTCTACTACATTGTGACCAACTGCACGACCATCGAGTCCATGGAAAAGGAGCGCAAGGCTGTTGTGCGGCGCATGGACGATGGTATGGTCGGAAACGTACGCTCATGCTCTCTCTTTCTCCCCTTCCACGATGTCAATTCTCACCCGTTGCGCTCCCGCCCCTCCAGATCGAGAACCCGTACGACATCGACTGGTGGACCAACATCAAGTCCGTCTTCGGTCGCAACCCCATCTTCTGGTGCTTCCCCCGAAGTCTCGCGCACCCGGTCCCCGCGGAATGCGGCGACGGGACCGTTTTCCCCATCAACATGTCCCACATCGAGTCGTGGTCGGTGCCAGCCGAACCCAAGCACCATGGGCGGCACGTCCGCCGCGGGTCGGAGGGGTACGAGATTGATATGGGCGCGACCTACTATGCCGAGCAAGCCGCGGACCCGTACGCCGGGTGGCACCACCAAGTGGAAGTCGATCAAGTTGGGACGCAGTACCAGGCGCCCGCGACGGTGCACGGGTACTCGCCGGCCGCCATGGACGATTACGAGGACCATATTCCGCTTGCCGAAGTGCGTAGCGGGATGCGCAAGCGGTCGGCGTCCCGCGGGCGCGGGTTGCCGGACAAGAAGGATATTTGATGCGTGCGGCGCGCAGTGACGGGTTTTGGTTTTCTTTGCTCGTTTTTCGTTGTCGAGTTTGTCGTGGCCCGACATTTCGGACCGCGATTCGCAACTATATCCTTGTAGATGGCGCAATCTGCAATATTTGATGACCTGAACTGGATCTCGCTGCTGCTAGCTTCCGCAAACCAAGCAATTCTCCTCTCCAACCCAAAGCGGATCAGATTTCCGGGGAAGCGAAGAAGGTGGGCTTGCTCACTGCTCTGACACCGGATCGGCGGCCAGCCGCATCCCAGGGCGATAGAGCACGAGGTCCTGGTCGATCCGGTGCCGGACAATCGCAAACTCGCGCTCAAAATCCATGATCGTCAGCGGCGGGTTGCCCGTGTACCCCGTCCAGTGGTCGTTGAACGACTTGAACACGTAGCCTACATTCCGCCCGATCGCGTCAGGTTGCGAAGCTGATGCAAAAGAAGTGCGCGATTTACGTACAGTAAAATTCGTGCACGGTCTCGCGCGCCGGCCCGTGCAGCAGCATGTAGTACTGAAGCCGGCGCGTGCGCAGCGTCTGTACAACGTAGCTGGTCACGTTGATGCCGACAATTGCAAACGAGTACCACGAGACAGGGTGTTGCGACGCGGCGAGGACGGCCTTGGCCACGGTCGGGTGCACCTTGGCGAAATACACGAGGTCGTCGAGCGCTTGCATGCCTGTAGTTGAACGCCAACAGGGTGAGAAGCGGGCTCCACCTTATCGGAAAAACCACGCCCGAAGAAACAACGTACCCATGCCGCGGAAATCAGTTGCCGGATCCTTGCCCTGGAACCCGATCTTGCCCCACTGGCTCGTGACGCGCGCCTCGAGCGGCTCGCCGGGCATGAGTAGCGACCACAGCTCGAGCAACTTGCGCTCGTGCGTGCGGTTGGCCGCATCGTACTTGGTAGCGGCGCGCGCATTGATGTCGGCGACGACGCGGTGTGCCTCGTGGATGACCGACACAGCAGCGAACAGGATGCGGGCCTCGGGGCTGTCGAAGACCACCAATCAGTCGAGGAGAGAACATGGGCAGGGCTCGGGATCAACGCACACGTACGTTTCGAGGCTGCTCCGGCCGGGAAAATGCTTCTTGTAGAGGATCATTTGCGTAACTTCCTCGAGCCCGCATTCTAAACGGGGGTAATCAGTCCGTCACTTCCTGCACTATCGATTCTGTGGAAACAAGCGCTCGGGATTCCGTACCTCGAGACTCGATGCTCCGTCGCTCCAGCTACAAAGTCGAAAGCGTCAGATCAGCCGAGTGCGAATGGGCACCGCGAGGTGTTGCATTTCCATACTGTCAGCTCTTTCGAGTAGAGCAGGGACATTTCTGCGATAACGCCCAGGTGGACACGCGTCAGTTTCGCGCCTGCGCTGCGCTCGTCCATTGGAGATACGCAAAAAAAAGAAAACACACCAATCTCGGCAATCGCGTCGCAGGAAACGGGCAACATCGCGCCACCGTCACGACCATGCTGAACATCTTCATCCTCACCGTCATGGTCGTCAAGCAGCGGTCGCTTGACGGCATCCTCGTCATCGTCCTCATCGACACTTCCACCCTCCTTTGAATCCGGTGCCGGACCCACGCGCCGTGACCTGCGCCCATGACCCATGCGCGCATTTTCGCCGAGCGCATCCCGCTGCCGCTTCACTTCGGCCGCGCAGAGCCGGTACAGCTCGGTCGTGCGTGTGACCAGGCCGTACAGGTACTTGACGAGCCGAAACACGGGTCGGAGCCACGGGCGCGAAGCCACGTACGCGCGTGCAACGAGCCGTGCGCGACCCGCGGGCGAGGTGCCGGCGGTACCGATGGTTGCGTGCGTCGGCGGCGGGAGCAGCAACAGGACGAGGTTGGTCAGGGGCTGCATGGCGCCAAACTGGTACAGAACGGCGACGACGAGCGCGAGCAGGGCAAGAACAGGGACTGGCGAGGTCGGATCGGCAAATGCGGTCGCGCTGCGAGTGGTTGAGGGAGCGGCTGTAGCGTCAGTGCCGGGCTCAGCGAGCATTATTCGTCGAACCGTCACAGGCGGACGGCTCGACCTCTTGCGATCGTCTTGCAGGGTCGCGTCGTCGTCGTGCAACTTGATGTTGGTCGATGGTTGATGATTGCGAGCACGTTAGCGAGTTTTTGCGAGTTGAAATGGCATGCAGCGCGGTCGCGTGTCGGTCCTGCTTGAGCGTGATTGGCGGGTGCGGTGGAACTGTTGGCCAGCATCATGGGAATTTAAGTGGGGAGCGGGAACAAATCGTTGCACATCGCCTGACTCGCAAGTCGCTCCTGCTGCGGTCCCACCAACTTCTGCCATCTCTATCGAGCCCATTCCGCATTCCACGACCTCTCCCACTTCTCCACTGAGCGCCGTCACTGCCGGCGATTTTTCGAGCAGCGTCTCAACCAGCGCACCTGTCTCCTCGCCCAACTCGCTGCACGCGTCTCACCAGAACCCAAGAAGCGTACCCACACTGTGGTCGACGTCGACGATCCTAAGCAGGCTGTTCTCGCAATTTTTCTTGGCTCGCTCCGGATCTTTGGCGAGGTGTGCCTCTCAAAATGCAAAAACCACGTGACCTTGGGAACAGATCTGCTGCCGTTGATTGTCACCAACAAGTCAGCAGCGCATGGACCAGGCCCAGCTCGACGAGTTGTTGACGCTGCTCTTGACCAAGATCGCGTAGATTTATGGTCGATACAAGGATCCCATGGTCCAGAGCGAATGCGCCAAGGCGATTGCTGAGGACCTGAATGTGAAGGCGCAGCTCAAATCGCTAATGTTGCCTGAAGTCTCCATCTCCAAGGACAATGCGATGCGCGCAGTCCTGCCCAAGGCCATTTCGATTTTTGACATGACATTCCGCTCTCCAAATATTCTCGATCCATACCCGGATATTTGTGCTCTCATTGCATTGATCCTGCTCGTCAATCCTGCCATGCTTGCGAAAATGCGGCTTTGTTGCCAGATGATGATTTGCGCTGTTCGACAGCACGTGCTGCAGTACCTGGGCACAGCACACGCT